ATTTTAAAAAATATTAAATTCACAATAATTACCTTTGCATTTTTCATAAACAATTTCTTTTATTACACAAAATGATGGTTTTTTTTAATCGTTGCTCCATTCTAATTACTATTATTAAAAATAATTTTTTTAATATTTTGATACCAATCAACTTCTCTATTTTGAAAAAGTAAAGAATATTTCCTATTCTCCATAAAAAAAATTTCTTCTACTAAATAAAAATATTGTATATTTTTAATTATTGCTTCATTGTTATTCCCATTAATGAAATTGATTTTTTTTCATATTTTGATTCCAATCAACTTTTTCATTTGTAAAGAGTAAAAAATACTGTAAAAGGTTATAACAACACAAATAAAGTTTAACTTTATGTTATTTTCATGAATAAGTTTAAACTATAATATTATCTCTTTTAAATTAAATATTTGAATTATTTTTCTCAACCTATATAGCAACAACTCGATTAACAAATGAATGATTATATACTTGTTAATTTATATTAATATTTTTATAATATGAATTTTAAAATCCTCAAAAAAGAAATATTCTTTAATCTCTACAAAATTGGGTATAGGATTTTTTTTTCTAAAATTATCATTAGTATCTTATCGTTTTTGCACTTAAATTTTTATTGTTGTGTTATTATCAGTCTCATAAAAATATATCTAAAATAACATGGATTAACTAACTCAAATTTGAAATAATTTAAAACTCAAATTCAGTATAAAAATTTTTTTTACTCATTTTAAATTTTAATTTAATTAAAAATAATATAATACACATAATTATAAAAAATGAACTAACTTGACTTAATTTCAATTGATTTTAAAAAATCAACAACTTGATGGTTATTTAAAACTTGAAATAAGTGAACATAACCAAAATCCGAATTGAAATAGTAACCCAATCAAAATCCAACATTAGTTTTTTATCTTTCATAACAATTTAAAAGTTTTTATTCAAACTTTTTTCCCTTAATCTTCAATATTTTTATTTTTATTGTCTTTGTAGTTGAATTAGTTAATTAATTTTAATATTATTTCTAAAGTAAAATTGCAATTATGAGTAATTGAGTATATTTCTTTTATTATTTGAAATTTGGATGATTTGAATCTAACTTTTTAAATTAAAGAAAAGTATGCATCAATTATTGAGTCAAATTTACTTAGACGCATAAGTGAAAATAATTGATATTACTATAAATATAAAGTAGATAATCAAACTTGCTCAAATTTAATTGGTTGTTGATCTTAGGTCTAAAATCCAACTCAAAAATTATAAAAAAGCCAAAATTTCAAAATAACTTGAATACTAAATACACAATTAAATAAAGATTTATCAAATGATTTGTTTAATTAATACTTTTAAAATCACTTTTAACTTTAGTTAAATTATAATTATAAATAATTTTTTATTTTAGATTAGATGTAAATGGATAATTAACTTGATGAATTTCAACTTCTTTTTTGAACAAATGTTACTTAATATGGTAACCTTAAAAATTTGATTACAACAGTGATATTCCTTAATTGACTATACAGAAAAAATGAATGATTGGTACAATGTTTCTTCAAATAAAAGAGTTTTATATTAATCCTAAAGAAATTTGAAACCAATACATTTGTATATTTTTCATTAAAATATCATATAACACTAACCGTCTTTATTATATGAAGAAATAGAATTATGTATAACCAAAAATCTTTCGTCTCATTTTTCTGTTTAGAATAATTTTCCATTGGTGCTTACATCAATTAAATATAAATTGTACATCCTATCAAATGAAAACTTAAATTTTCTTTTATAGGAAATCTATTATTATAAATAAATTTTTATTAAATAAAAATATTATATTAGATCATTTTAAAAAATAAAATAAAATAAATTTCTAACCTTGATACTTGTAATGTTTTCTTAAGAAAATTCCAATTTTGAGAATAGCAAATTTGTTATGTAATACTTACACTATTTATAATAATTTCATTTTCAGCATTAATAACATAATTTTCATAAATGAAAGTAATTTTTGCATAAACACATTCAAAAGATAGATCTAATAAATTTTGTCACACCTTAAAAAAATTGGCCAAAAATAATTAATTTTACTTCACTTAATAATAATTCATGTTAGATTGTTCAAGCACTTAGATGACAAAAAAAAATTACTAATTGTATTTTAATCTATCACTTGTAATATTTTTAAAATTAAAATTTCATTAAAGGTATTTAGTCAATCACTTTTAACACTTTTTAGTCTAATTATAGAAAAGAGTTTAATCAATAAAAATTCATTTAAATTAAAATTTATAAAAAACATTATACTAAAAACTATTTTAACCATTACTTTTAACACTTTTAAAATTAAAATTTTAAAATTTTAAGTAGTTTAATTTCACATAACTCTATTTTTTAATTTTAGTTGATTTAATTAACTTAAATAAATTGATAAAATTTATATATTTAAGCATAAACTTTGTTATTTAAAATTTTATAAGAATATTTAAGTTGATCACTATTAGCACTTTAAAATTCCACCTTTTATAGAGGTAAGGTGGATATAAATCAATTAAAAGTAAAAATAAAACATTTATCAATTTCTTTAAATCACTTGAAAAATTAAAAATTTACATTAATAATGTATCAAATATTAATTTCATTTTTCAACTTCATTTTTCTTGGGTGCATTCTAATTGTCTCCTTCAAGAGGACCGCCTAGTGGTTAAAACTTTGAAATTTTATCATGGAGGTCCCAAGTGGAATCTTTGGATAAGTACGATAGTTTGGAGAGGCAAACCTAAATGGGGTTGGTAGGGGCCCTAGCCCCTCTTGTTCCTCATGATCACGGTGGAAAGAGTATATTTTCATTCAAAAAATGGTAAAATCAAAACACCCTCCTCCCTCAAAAATTAATAATTTAGCCATTTCTTTAAGAACAATTGTAATTATATGGTAAATTTTTTAAGTTACTAAAATTTTTATTTGTAGATACAATAAATAATTTGATTTTCTTTCACTTTTCAATAAAAAAAATTACCTTTTTTGATGTAATCATTATTATTTCATTGAATTCTTTAATTCCTTAAAATAAATTTTTTTTCAATTAATTAAACAAGCATGTAGACATTAATTATTATGTCAAAATATTTCTTTCTATATAGACAAAAAAATACAACTAAAAAAAATTCAACTACCTATTTATTGTGCACATAAAATTATAAATTTAATTGTACATTATAATTTTTTTTTCTATTTTTGTCAAACTTTTCATTTCTAAAACTAAACCTTTTAATGTATAACTTTTATTCTTTATTTTTTCAAAAAATTATTAGTTAGATTTTAATTGTTCTTTAAATATTCAACAAATTTCTTTTAATTGTAAAAAGAAATTTTTATTTTTATTTAATTACATTACTATTATTTTATTTAACATTAATTTTTTTATTAAATTTTTGTCAATTCACCTTATTTTTATATCAACCCCTCCAAAGTAAAAAAGCGGTTTCGCCCCTGATAGTTTGGATTTGAGTCAATGGTTGGAAATTTCTTTTTGTCGATCTTGATTTTCATAGAAAGTCAAGTAAAAAACTATGGTACTAGATGCATAAGAGTGACTCGAAATCAAACTAGTGTCACAGAATTTCTTAGCTTAGATACGATATGGCTGGGAATCATATGAGCATACCCGAAAAAGGTTTTGTATAGCTTTTATGATTTTTTTACGTATTCAAAATTATAATAATATTTATTTATCGATTGACTTTTGAATAAGCTAACAAATTATTAAAAATTGCATATTCAAAAGAGGTTATGTGCATAATTATTTTTTTTAGTTAAGTAAACATAAGGAAAGAGATTCAATGGCATATTAGGAATTTCAAAAAAAAAACTATAGTAATACCTATGGCCATGATATAATATCACATTGGCAGATGTAAAGTACCAGAAGTTGAACCCCGTGCCAAAATCTGAGTAGGTTTAGTAAACTTTGTGGTTATCGATTTGGGTAGGTATGGTTGGTGCCTGTAGGATGCGCTACTGCCCTCTATATCCCTAGCAGTAGGACAGAATCAGACAAATAAGCACCTTTGGTAATGTAGTTAACCAATTGGTTTGGGAGGGCTCTGTGTTTTGAATGTCAAATTGTCCCTCCCACTTTTGCCAGTGGGTCGATTGGAATGGAACCAAAGTACAGGAAGATCATTGAAGCGGTAGGCAATGAGCAGGTGAGAGAAGGGAAAGCCTTGAAGTTTTAAAAATCTGGTTGAGTTTGGCAGCTAATTCATGAGGAGGATGAAATCTATATAGATGCCCAGACTCTAGACTAGACTAGAAGCCTAGACATTGTTGGCTGATAATTTCGTAGCGACTTTTTGCCAGTGGCTTGGCATTCTGAGGACATGCGTTTAAATGTAAAAGAAGGGCCAAAATAATAAGAATTAAAAAATATTATAATATGTTTTTATTTAATTTAATTATTGTAATTCAGTTTTTTCAATCGATTCAGGTATCAAAATCCAAATTTACCTATAATTTCCTCTTAAATCAAATAAGCCGATCCAAATTTACCTAATATAGTATATTTTTATCGGTTTAAATGCTCTCTAATAGTTAAATGTAGTTATTTGGTTTATTTGGTTCTGTCAGCTCATCTAGGTTCTCACCTAACTCTCACCATACGAAGTAAAAAAACAAAAACACAATCATTCCAAGGAAGAAAGCTCACCTTTTAAGCCAAAAGCAACTTTGATTTCTTGCGGTAGAAACTAAACAAATAAATAGGGTAATCAAGAAATCCGAGCATAAGACATGAGTTTGTGAACTGCCCCAGCAACTACTGTTGTCGACTGTAAGAGGCCTACCGTTTTTTAAATGTTCAGATGGACAGCAGTCATTCATATGACATTCCACATATATGAATCCACGAAAAGAAAAAAGGATAAATATGGCCCAGTTTTTTCCTTTTCTTTTTTTTTTTTTGGTATAAAAAATGGACACTTTAATCTTAAATTGATAAATGCATAAGGTTCATAATGTTACATAGCTGTAAGTGTCAAGCGAAATTGGTTGTTTACAGCATTTCTTTGTTTACCAGTGAAGTGTGAGCCACTCATGCTTTGGTATTTTATTTGCTTTGGCTGAAAGAGAATGCTAAGCATGTTTTCCAAGCTTTGCACTGTGTATTTTACATTCCTTGCAGCAATATCATTGTGATCGACTAGAAGGCTATATTTCTGCAAGTAACTTCTATAAGCAGGCACGAGAGCCCGCACTACAAGCTGGTGCATCTTGTTTCTCAAGCTTTCATCGAGAATGACCCAATTTGACTGCTTCTTGTACATGTCATCAATGGCTTCATTGAATGCCTTTAGCCTCTTGTTAGGCGAATCAGAAATAGTCCCGGCGGCGGCAGAAGAGGATGAAACTGGATTATCCTGGATTAGACAATCCAGGAGTTTCCCCCAGCTCTCTCTCAAGTATATAGCTGAATAATATTCCTTGTACTGTCCATGAGCACATAACCAAGGGTCTCCCATCAGATTCCCTAGCTTTGTTCCTTTCAGGCTATGGAAATGACAATGATTGTTCATCATGAATATGTAGGACAATGCCCTTTGCTCATAGGCTTTTGACCAGGCATCCAAGTTGACTGCCATTTCTCTCACTATGCTGTACATGTGGCCGGTAAGAAGTCCCTCGTCATATTTTTCATGTTTCCAGCCTTGACAGATTTTCAGAACTTGAGTCAAGATTGGTCTGTAATTGTCGTCAAGCAACTGATTGCAGTAATCAGTCACGAAGGTTACCAGCCTGGGAACACCTCCATCTTTAGGGGGAGAACTATGTCGTTCCAGCTCCACTTGTACGGGGAGTTCCCAGAAAATCTCACTAGCACCATTAACAACTTTGGTTACAAGATCCATTGTCGCGGTTTTGATTTCAATGCAAGCTTCCCCTCCAAAAAGCTTGTTGAAATCCATTCTTAAATTTTCTAAAACTGAAAAAATGTGCAACAAATTCAAGAGTTTGATAGGACCTTTCTTACTCTCAGCAATGCTCATTCCAAAGTGGAGGAGAGAAAGGATTTCAGATTGGGATGCAATCCGTGCAAAGCAGGCCATCCAAACACCTGATGGAATGCTTCCAAAGACTTCCTTGCAAAGCCTGTGCTCATGCTCAAGCACATGTTTCACAATGAACTCCATATGCTTGCTCCACTCATCTATGCAACTTTCCATATCCTGGACGTCATCAAATTCTGTAAATGCTTTCTCAAGGTAATCCAAATCAGGAGCTTGTAAAATATTTCTAGTATACAGACTCCGAACTTCAACAAATATTGATATGCAGTTTTTTAGCCTGTTGCTGACATTTAGTTTCTCAACAATCGCCTGTAACTTCTGAAGAATAGGCCCTGGAAAAGGTGATTCTGCATTGCAGGCTTGCTCTGCTGGAACACTACCATCTGTCAAAATCTGCTTGAATGAAAATTCTAGCTTGTCAAATGCACAACAGAGAAACTCTCCATTCTGACAAGCATGCTGCCCGGTTGCTTGTAACTCCTGTAAAATTGTTACTGACCGTTTAACGTTCAAGATGTAACTGTCATTGGCTACAGAATTATCTTCCAGGAATTGGACAACTCCTTCTAACCATTGGATTGCCAGGTTGCAGTTGGCTGCGAGAAATCTTAGTGCTTCTTCAAGCTGTCTAACGGTTGTAAGGTAGGAAATATCAGAATATGAGCCTGATAACAGCAACTTCTCAAGTTCACGGATGGAATCCAAGATCTTCAGAACTGCAACAACCGGACCAAGAGCGAGACTAATATGGTCTCTAATGGTGGCAAATGTGCAGTTTTTGGAAGAGCTATGCCTAATAGCAGCTTCAAAAAATACCAACTTTTTGTCTATGTCAGCCAATCTTGGTCCAGTTTTGTCTAAAGCCAAGGCAAGAGCTCTTGAATTCTCCAAGCTAGTTTTCAATAGCTTTCTACAAGCCAAAAGATTTTCAAAGCTCTCCACCTCAGCCATGGCTCAACAGACAATGGATGGAATTTTGAGGAGTTGTCCCGTTAAATATCATGGTTTCTTCTGTATCACTCTTTTACTTTTTTCTCACCAAACTAATCAGACCCAAACCAAACCTCACTTGCAAAACAAATATCTCAATGGGAAACGTCCAACTACCATACCATAAGATTTCTTGATCCATAAAGAAAGGAAGAGAAAAAAAAAAAGAAACCTCTACTTGGAAGTTTAAAGTTGTGATCTGGTTTTTGTAAGGAACTTCCTGTCTTCACATTTTAATTTTAAAAGCCTTCACTCAACCAGTCAACTGTCCCCATCCACCACTGGGTTGTTCATAGTCACCCCACCCTCCATAACCTTACATATGTACATAAGCTTTAACAATGTAATTGTTTAATGATAGGTGCATGTATTCTCTTATTCGAAAAAATTAATTTATTTTTTTATTCACAATATGGGTGTTGCAAATAGATTTGGTATTTTGTATTTTCGAATTTGTTTACTTTGTATAATATATATATATATATAAAATAAAAAAAATTATCATATTATAATTTATATCGAAATGTAAAATATAAAACATGTTTTTTAATTTTTACCAAACTTACATATAAATTTTACTAAAATTTTAAATTTTATTATTTTTTAAATTTGTTTATAATATCATCATGCTGTATTTCAAATTATGAAATAAACCAATTATTATCCATTATCTTTCCCTTCCCAACAACTCTTAAATCTTGAGAAAATATACAAATTAATATTTAAAAAAAAATGTCTAACTGGCACCTAAAACTTTCAAATAATGTATAATTTACTTATAAACTTTAAAATTATGTGTCATATTAATCCAAACTCTAATTATGTTAATCATATTAATTTATATATGTGACATTTGATTAATATTATCAAGATGTGTTCACCACACTTATTACTAACATATGTTTCAATATAAATTAAATATATATATTTTACCTAAATCGTAAAATTTATCTAAAATCGATCAAGTATTTTTTGTCACATAACATTCACATTAAGATTTTTACAAAACATTTAATATTTTATTTAACAAATAACAAGCATATAATAAAATTATACTATTTAAATATTATATAAGTAAATTAAGTTAACAATATTAAAATTAAAATTAAAATAATATTTATTTAAAAATTATTTCTGCAAATTGTAAATATTAATTTTTTATACCAACTTATATATTCTTTCAAATTTTAAATTACCAAAAATATAATTAACTCTTCTGGAATATATTTCTTTTTCTTTATGGGTCTAATTATTTATCATAAAATCCACTATTCATTTTTTAAATATATTTAAGAAACTTGCCACCATTGAGTTAGGATTAGACTTTTATAGTTACATAATATCTTGGGCCACAATTGGACAAAAAGTTTACGCCCAATAATTTATTGAATGCGGGCTTAGACTGATTTTAAAGCTCAAGATCAACTAAATCCAAACCCAATTTATTAATTTATTTTAGATAATAAGAAAATATATTATATTGGAAAATGTATTCAAAAAATATTATATTGGAAAAACATATTATCCATATGTATGAATTTTTATATTACTTATAGAAAATATATATATATATATATATATAGATATATGGAGAGTTGATCCACTTACACTGATATAAAATTAATTAAAGTTTTTAAATTTTTTATACATTTTTATGCAATTTATATTTTATTAATTTAACCATTGAACTTTATGTAAATCATATATGGCCGGTTTTAAATTAATTAAAAACACAAAGTTAATTTTTGACAATAAAAAGTTTTGGTTGTAAAATATATATTATAAAATAAAATATTTTCGAGCAATATGATAGAAGTGTCAAATTGATTTGAAAATTTATGTGCATGATAAATATGAAGTTATAGTTAAATTTAAAGGTTAATTTTTTCAAAAAATATTATTTTTATAAATATTATAAAAAATGTAAAATTAATAGTGTAATTGAATTCGCCTCTCATATATATATATATATGTGTGTGTATATGTATACGTATAGTAAGAGCTAAAATTAGTTTAGCATATTATAAATAGATTAAATTTGTAGCACCACTTGCCTACAATTAAATTAAATTAAAATTTTATTTCTGTGCAATTAAATCCTAGTAGTTAGGGGAATCTTCAATTAAAAAAAAAAAAAGACTATGCCTTTCCTAACCTTTTTAAATTAATACAAAATTTTAATGCAATTAAATCCTAGGTCAAGGAGGGGTCACCTCAAAATATTTTGGTAGGAATTGGCCTGCAAATTTATTTTATTTTTAATCAATTTATTAAGTTATTCCGTCGGTTTTTTTTTATTTAATTTTTTTTACATGTGAAAACCTATGATCTTTTATTTAATAGGAGATAATAAGACTAACTTGACCATCCCATAAATCTTATTATTTTCGTACCAAGGAATTCAAAATCACTAAATTATAGTATCAAATTTTAATTGTTGGAGCATTCCTTTGAGAACATCTTCTTACTTATTTTAGTCAGATACTTGTCAACCAACTTCAACACTTTAGTCAAAAGATAAATCAGAAAATGAACACAAAACAACGAAACTTTTCCATCCCTACCAAATCAAATCTATATCTATATATTAAAATTGTCTCGATGCATATCGATTTAATATTTAAAAATTAGGTCTCTAATTTTTATTTTCATAAGAAAGGAAGAGTAATATATATTTAAAATTTTTATTTTCAATTTTTAATATTAAAATCTATATTATATATAAAAACTTATTATAATATTTGATAAAGTAATTATAAAATATATATTATATTTAAAAATTTAAAAATTATTAAAATAGAAACTTTTGAAATTTATTTATTTGACATTATAATATTTGATAAAATTTATTAAAAATTCAATATTATATTTTTAAAATAGAAAATTTTGAAATATATTTATTTTAAATTCTAATATTTGATCAAATGTATTAAAAATATATATTATATTTGAAAAATAAAAAAATGAAATTTTATATTTAATAAAATATATTAAAAATCTATATTATATTTAAAAATAGAAACAAACCCAATAAAAAAATAAAATTTGATAAAATATATTAAAAATCAATATTATGTTTGAAAATTAAAAAAGACTAAAAATAGAAAGTCTTATTAAATTTTTTTTTCTTTTTTTTTTTCTCAATTTTTTCTTTCTTTTCTCTTTTTCGTTTTCCTCTCATTCCTTAACTGATCGATTTAGGGCTTGTCAACAATAAATCAAGCCCAATCAACATAGTAGTTGCGATTGGTTGCTAAATTAGCCCTTGATATCATTGGTTCAACAAGGGGAATAGGTTGGGCTTGACAAAAAAGGTGAAGCCCAATATTTGTTCTCCCTCATTAGACTAATGGCTTAAGGGGTCGATCTAGCTTTAGCTGTTATTACAGTTTCTGCTTGGCTAGATTTGGCCCTCTATTGTCGCCAACAAGCTATTGGTTGACGAAAGAAAGAAGGGAAAGGAATAAAGAAGAATGAAAAGAAAGAAAAAGAAAAAGAAGAGTAATCAAGTTCATCTTATGCATGTTTAGTATATGGCAAACATGTGTCAGCAACAAACATTTCATGATAGTATTAATGAAAATATTGATGAAAAAAGTATTTCATTACAATGGTTGAAGTATATAAATCAACGAATGGCTTTTGAAAAAATTGGAACCAAAGTGATATGCGATTCTAAACTTCGAGACCACAATTAGTATCCTTTTTGTGAAATGCTCTTTTACCGTTTGACCATCTAATAGCACTCTATTGCATAAGGCCATTTGGATTCAAATGGGCTAGTACGGCATGTTTGGGGCCACTTTTGGTCTCAATCGAGCACCCTATTTTGGTGTGGCATGATGAAAGATTTCCTCTGGTGTTTCAACCATTTTTTGCCCACGGAAAAGGGGAACTAATCTCATTTTCAATATGTTAGTCGACTTCGCTTACATTAGGCAATTCGAACATTGGCTTCACAATGAAAGTCTAAATATATTAATATATTTAAAAATAAGCATAAGGCATTCGGCTACCCTCCATCAAGCATTCGATTGCTCTCACTTGGAAGTCAAACTATATTATATGTGTAAAACAAATTCCAAAATTCAAAATATGTATATTTGCTCTAAGTAAGGATGATCAATGTTAGGTTGGTAATTAAGTTCAACACAAGTTAACAAAATAAACACAAGGATGATCAATGTTAGGTTGGTAATTAGAAAAATTGCGGCTCCCATTCTCTTCCTTAAAATATTCTATATAAAGCTTTAGTCTAGTCCTTAATCAGCCAATCAAGGGTCATTATTGTGCAATCTTCACCCTCCTAATAGCTAGCCGGCTTCAGGGAGTTTTTGCTGCCTGTAGGGAGCAAAAATGGTGCACTTTGGTAGCTCCATCTTCACCATGTGCTGTATGTTGAGCTGGAACAATGAGGGACTTTAATTCCTCCACCTAGGACATATGTTGGCAGTTTTGACCTCTCTTCAAATGAGCCATTTTTGGAGTTGATTGGCTCCAAAACCGCAGTTGTCAGTGTGCTAGCAGATTGGTGTTGATTTGTCCTTCATGCAATTGTGCCACCTTGCTTAAGCCCATGTACTTCTCCAATCATTTTCCACCAAAAAGCCACCTCTTTTCCTTGTCATCCTCTGAATTTTCCCAGCCTCAAGTCCCTTCAATTTGGTGTAACCCAGCTGCAAGAAAGAATTCCAGAAGCTGTCATTTTCTAAGTGGTCCCAAATTGTCTTGTAGTGACAATGGTCTCCCCTCTCTTGTGACATGCTTTGCCGATTCACGTGCTCCCAAATTTGAATTGTTCCATGGCTTGGTGGCTACCTTTACTCCCCATTTAAGCTTCCAAAAGCAGCTTAAAGGCCTCTCAATTCAGTTCCTCCATCTTGCAAGCCAGCCTATGCATGGGAGAATGCTCACACATGCACTAGTGGTGTAGCTCTTGGCTCGGACGCTTTTTGGGCATG